TCCTCAACCAACCCCCCTTCCACAACTTCCTCCAAGCCCCATCCCCCTCCTCCTTCTTCTCCCCACCCCCAACCTCCAACCCATCCAGCTTCCTCACACTCGGCACCCTCTCCGAAACCATAAACTCCCACAACCTCCTCCTCATAGCCGTATTCGAATCCAACCGCCCCCTGTACTCACTATCCCTCTGCCGATCCTGCTCCGGCAGCACAAACCTCCCCCCCTCATCCTTCTCCCCCTCCTTCCCCCCCTTCACAGCAACCACCAAATGATTATTATCCCGCTGCTGCAACGGCGTATAAAACCCCAACGTTACCAAATTATCCCTCACATCACACTCCCTCAACCACCTAAACCCACCCAGCACCTCCACCAGCTTGGCCGCATCCCCCAGCCGATTCCCGCTCACAAACAACCTCTTCAGCCGGGGGATATACCTCAACGGCCTAATCTCGCTCAGCGCGTTCATGTTCAGGTTCAACACCCTCAAATTCGGCATCAACATCCCAAAATCCTTTGGCAACCGCTCCAGCCCGCAATTCGCCACCTCCAAGAGCTGCAGATTCAAAAAATCAACCTGCGGCTCAAACGTGTGGAGCGGGTTGCCCGAGAGGAATAACTTGCGGACTTCATACACGCGAGACAGCAAAAAGGGGAGGTCGAGCGGGGTGCTGGACCGCTGCTCGCGAAGAGACAGCGAGTCAATCCTCCTCGCGCGGGAGAACCCACTGATGCGAACGAGAAAGTTCTTGTCTGCGTGGAGGAGGCGGAGGTGAGGCATCCTGGCGACGGAGAGGGAGGTGAGCTGGTTGTTGTTGAGATACAGATAACGAAGGGAGTGCATCGGGGTGTCGGAACCAGCAGAAAACGACTCGAGCTGGTTGCCTTCCAGATCAAGAGACGACAGAGCCGGGAGAGCGTCGAGGTTGATGACAGTCTTGATCCTGTTCCCCTTCAAATCAAGATCCGTCAGTTGCGACAGGGTAGCCCCTTCGAAATCAACCTCCTCAATCTGATTCCCCCTCGCGCGAAGACTCTGAAGTCCACGATGATACTTGATCCCATCCAAACTTGTCAACTGATTATTGTCAGCCTTGATGCTCCGCAGGTGAACAAGCGTCCTCAGCGGCGTCAAGCTCGTCAACGCATTGTTCGAAACGTCAACATATTGCAGATTCATCAAATGCCCCCATGCCGTCAACCCCGAGAGCTGATTGTTGGCCATCCTCAAATGCAGCACCGAAATCGGGATCCCGCTCAGGTTCCGGATGGCATTGTTGGAGACATCCAGGCTCTCAAGTTGTCCACAAAAGTCGTCCAGCGAGTGCAAACTGTCAAGCTGCTTGTCGCGCAGCTCGAGCTCGCGCATGTCTTCCCAGTAAGGCTCAAACGGTTCCACCTCGGCAATCTTGTCCACCAGCTGGCGGGTGCTCATCGAGACGTGGCGCTTGGAAGGGCTGCCAGTCACTAAGCGGTGGTCATTAACCACATAGCTCGCCTCGAGTGGCAACGTCTCCTCCGGACGATGAACGGTGAACTCCGACATGGGGCTGAGCGAAAACGTCCCGACATACTGGCTGATAATCGGCGTATTGTTCATGTCGGGAATCGGACACGTCGACGGCCGAGCAGGAGTGACGACAATACTGACACTGCCGTGCCGTTCATCACCCTCATGAGCAACAACGCTGTTCTCCGGCACAATGCTGAGCTCCATCCCAGACGCACCGTTAGAACCGCCCTGGGCCTGGGCCTGCGCAGATTCCTCCTCGTGCTCATCAATCCTCGACACCGGCCTCGCCATAAGGGTCTGGCCCCGGAACGAAAGGTGCCTCGGCGGACCTCTCGAAGTGCTTCTCGACCTTGACGTCCGCCTCCTGGGAGTCGCCTGGATAGAAACGGTTTTCCTACCCCGTTTCAGCTGATCCAGAGCAACATCCTTGGCAATATCTTCAGCAACCTGCTCAATAACCCCGGATTCTTCCCACTCAAACTCATCCTCACCACCCGACAAATCCTGGATAACCTCTGCAATGGGCGAAGAGAAGCTGATCGTCAACCTCCTACGCTCCTTGAGAGCAGCCAAGTCCTCACTCAAACTAATCTTTGCCTCCCCTCTCGTCGGCGTCTTGAGATTCGCAAGATTTGTCTGGAGAGAGATAGTCGACCTCGGCCCGCGACTCGGGGTCTCCCCATTACCCATGCTCAGCCTCAAGGCCGCAGTGGCAGTCGCAATACTAGCACCACTCAGACTACTGACATCCGCCGAAGGGCCCCTCTTTGGGCTCTCTGGCGTCGTAGACCCTTGGTTGAACATTGTATCCGAACCGCTCTCCTTCCTGCCCGTCGCCAGCGCCAGGTTCTGCATCTCCATCGTGATATCAACCGACAAATCTGGTATCCCAGCAAAAGGATCATCCTCGCTCGCCTCCGACGGCAGAAAGTTTGACCTCGCCGAATTAGCCCTTGACCTCCTTCCCTGAAGAACCACAGGCGGTGGTGCCGGCGTTGGTGATGGTCTCTTTTTGATCCACACATTCCGTTGCCTATCCAACACCATATTCCCCACCCTGTCCGGAATCAAATGCAGGACACTCTCCGGCGCAATCGTCTTCCTCGCCTCCGAACCCCTCGAAGACCCTCTTGACGACTGAGTGGCATAGGTAGAATTCGTCCCAACAGACCCAGGATTGCTAGTCCCGTACGAAGCCGGCCCCTCATCCGTAAAAACATCCCCCTCCTGCCACTCGGGATTCCTCGAGATTCTCAAATTCGGCGGGTCGCTAATAACCCCCCCGTCATCATTATCAAACAGCGACGTCCTCGTCATTCCAGCATTAGCACTCCCATACGAAGCCTTGATCTGACTCGCCCTCTCCTCCATCTCCTCCCTCTCCCTCGCCGCCCGTAACGCCTCCAAGCTCAAATCCCTCGACCTCACCGAGCTAGCAATAACATCCCCCATCTCGCTCCCCTCCTCATACTTCTTCAACCTCTCCGCCAGTTCCGGATCCTCCTGCTTCGTCGGCCTCCTCGACAACGGCGGCCTCCCCTCCCGGCTCGGCGGTCGCGAAAAAGGCTCCTTGCTCGAAGCATAAGAACTCTCCCCGTCCATAACCGCCTGCGCATTCTCCCCCTCCGACTCCTCCAAGCTCGCCAGCCCGCTCGCCAACCCGGCCTTGCTCCGAATCATGGCCATAATCTTGTTCGCCTCATTGATAAAATCCTCCGTCCTAATCGATGGCTTCCTGTTTGTCGGCGGCTGCGCCCCTGAAGTAGGTGGAGGCCCCCCCGCAGTACCCGGACGCGTGTTCCTGCTCGACCTCATTGGTGATCTCGTCGCCGCAGGGTCAATCTCGAGCAGCGGCGCGCGCTGCTGTGTCGAAGACCGTTGGTTCGGCGTCGGTGTCCTAGGCCGTCCCAACTCCTCCCCCGCCTTGCTGATCATCTCCACCTCCTCCGCCATCCTTTCTCCTTCCTCCTGTTGCTCCTCCTCCTCCACCATCACCACCACCACCTCCTC